GGGGGTGCTGGGGGGGGGGGGGACACTCCCCTGGCTGCAGATGGGCCGGGAGGGACCCCTGGGGTGCAGATGGACCGGGGCGGGGGGGTGGGCGGGAGGGGCAGATGAGCCGGGGGCGCTGCGGAGGGGGTGGGTGTCCAGCTGGAGAAGCCGATTAACGACCTCGGGATGTTGAGGGGGGGGCGGGAATGTGGGGGGGGGGGGGCGCGCCGGGCGCTGCAGCACGTGCCGTCTCCCCCCCAACCCCCATGTCGCAGTTTTCCTCTGCAGCGGAGCCGCACCGGGCGGGGGGGGGAGCGGGGGGGGGAGCGGGAGCGGCCATGCCCCCCCCCCTTCGGCGGCAAACACAGTGAGAGGGGGGGTGAGCACAGCGGAGGGAGGGGGGGGGGGTGTCAAGCCCCCTGGTGCCCCCCTCCCCATTTCGGGGGGGCCCTTCACAAGTCCCAGGCGGGCGCTGCACCCCGCGGCGGGGGGAGGTGTCCCCCCCCCAAAGCCCCGCAGCGCCCGCCCGGCAGCGGGGAAGGGGGAGGAGAAGGCGGGGCGCGCCACGCGTGACAACCAATCAGAGGTGGAGAGCGCACGGATGGGCGGGCGAGTCGGCCAATAGGGATGCGGGGCGGGGGCGCATCGCCCGCCCCCGGGCCGGTATATAGGGGGGTGCCCGGGGGCGGCGGCAGCCTGGTACTTGCGTCGATTCCTTGCTTGTCGGGACGAGTAACCGCGCCGCAGCCATGGTAAGGAGGGGGAGGAGGGATTGCAAAATGTGGGGGGGACACACGTGCTAGGAAATGGGGGGAGGGAGGTTGGAGTTGGGGGCCGCCTGGACTTTGGAGGGGAGTGGGAAAGGCTGGGGGGAGTGGGAGCTAGGGATTGGGGGGGCATACGGCAGAATGGGGGCTGGGGGGGGGGGGAAAAGAACAGGGATGGCAGGATGGGGGGGGAGTAGAGAAGGAGGGGGGGCTGCGGGGAGTGCAGAGGCTTGGGGGGCACAGCATGGGTTGGGGGTGCCGCCCTTGCTGGTGGGAGCTCCTCTTGTGGGTGGGTGGGGGGGTCACAGCCCACCTTGGGGGAGCAGCACGTGGTCTCGGGTAGCCCCCCTCACCCCCCCCCCCTCGGCGGGGGCGGGGCTCTGTCCCGCTTTCGGCGCCCAGCCCCGACCGTTATCGTTCCCGCGCGCGGGAAGGCGCGGGGCGGGGGAAGTGCCCCATCCCCCCGCAAAGGGGCCCAGCCCCGCCCCCCCATCACGTCACCAGCTCCCCCCAGATCCAGCCCTGAGCCCCCAATTTAACAATCCCCCTCCCCGTGGCGGGGATAGAGGGTCCTTGTTCTCCCCCCCCGAGCCCCACTGCACTCCTGATGCCCACCCGAGTCTGGCTAATCCTGCTCTGTAGCTCCTGAGGGAGCCCCCCGAGCCTCCTTCCCCCCCCCAAAAAAAAAAAAAAATCCCGGCCCCCCCCCGGGCGGGAGGAATGTGCGGGAGCAGGTGGTGCGGAGCTGGGAGCGGCCGGGAATGTGCTGGACCCGCGGGGGTGGTTTCAGAGAGACACCCCCCCACCCCCACCCCCCGGGTGACGCCATTGTCCCTCCCCGGTCGTTTTGGGTCGGCTGGTGCGGTCACGTCCCCGCTGCTGCGCTCTGTGCTTCCTCCTCCTCCTCTTCCTTCTTCTGCAGTGCAGCCTCGCCCTGCCCGTGCTGCGGGGCTGTAAAATGTCCTCCCCGTGCGCCATTTGGAGGGCTGGAGCGGGGTGACGTTACCCCAGGGCTGGGCCAAATGGTGCCTCCGGTCTGTCCCCAAACACTTGTCGTCGTGTGTGTGTGTCCCTGTCCCCCCACCCCCCTCCTGGGGCGAATTTGGCTTCTGAGCTGCCCCTGCGCCGCTGGGCCGGGGCTTTGTAATGGCAACAAGTCGGCTGCAGCCAGCTGAGCCGGGGCGCAACCGGTGCTGCAATGGAAGGTGGGGGGGCCACAAAGGGGGGGTCCCGGAGCTGACACGGCCGCCTGTGTGTGTCCCCCCCCTCCCAGCGCGAGTGCATCTCCATCCATGTGGGCCAAGCGGGCGTGCAGATCGGCAACGCCTGCTGGGAGCTGTACTGCCTGGAGCACGGCATCCAGCCCGACGGGCAGATGCCCAGCGACAAGACCATCGGCGGGGGGGACGACTCCTTCAACACCTTCTTCAGCGAGACGGGGGCCGGCAAGCACGTGCCGCGGGCTGTCTTTGTGGACCTGGAGCCCACGGTGATCGGTGAGTGCAGAGGGGTGGGCTGCGGGGGGGGGTGTGGGGGTGTGGCTGGGGTGCGGGGGGCTAACGGGGTGCCCGTCTCTCCCGGCAGACGAGGTGCGCACGGGGACGTACCGGCAGCTCTTCCACCCTGAGCAGCTGATCACGGGCAAGGAGGATGCGGCCAACAACTACGCCCGCGGGCACTACACCATCGGGAAGGAGATCATCGACCTGGTCCTCGACCGCATCCGCAAGCTGGTAGGTACAAACCCTGGGTGGTGCCAATGCCACCGCAGCCGGTGGCAAAAGGGGAACCCTCTGATAGGATCCAGGCTGCAATGAGGAGCTGGGTCCTGCCTCCAGCACCTAGGTGCATTTTATGTTTTTTGAAACCCTGTACCGGGTCTGGATCCTGTGAGTGGAGATCAGGATGAATTCCCTTCCTCGGGGCTCTGCAAGCCCAAGACATTCACCCCAAAGGTGGAGTGTGCCTGGGGACAAGCTGGGGCCTGGGGGAATGCTGGCTTGTTTCTGCCCTTGGGAAAACCTTATTTTAACCCTTTCTTTAGGGTCATGTGAGGTTTCTCCTTGATCTGGACTCTGATCCTTCTTTACCAACTGCTTACGTGGAGGAGGGCTGAGTGTTTAACTCATGCTGGGGCAGCTCATGTGAATTCAATCCTGTCCAAAGCAGACTGCCAATCCTGTCCAAAGCATGCTGGGGGCAGGCTCCTCTAGCAGGAAGGAGCCAAGTGTCCCCCGACCCTGTGGGAAGGGGCCCCTTTCCCCAGGGCCAGTTGTGCCCCTTCTTGTGTCCCCAGGATGAGTCCCCAAAGGCCTGTGATCCTGGGGTGGACGTTTGCTGCTGTGGGCAACTGTAGCAGCTTAAATCCAGAATTGCTGACAGATCAGTCTTCTTTTCTCTTCCTTTCTTCCAGGCTGACCAGTGCACGGGGCTGCAGGGCTTCCTGGTCTTCCACAGCTTCGGGGGCGGCACCGGCTCCGGCTTCACCTCCCTGCTCATGGAGCGCCTCTCCGTCGACTATGGCAAGAAGTCCAAGCTGGAATTCTCCATCTACCCGGCCCCACAGGTCTCCACGGCCGTGGTGGAGCCCTACAACTCCATCCTCACCACCCACACCACCCTGGAACACTCCGACTGCGCCTTCATGGTGGACAACGAGGCCATCTACGACATCTGCCGCCGCAACCTGGACATCGAGAGGCCCACCTACACCAACCTCAACCGCCTCATCAGCCAGATTGTGTCGTCCATCACGGCCTCCCTGCGCTTTGATGGGGCCCTGAATGTCGACCTGACGGAGTTCCAGACCAACCTGGTACCGTACCCCCGCATCCACTTCCCGCTGGCCACCTACGCCCCCGTCATCTCGGCCGAGAAGGCATACCACGAGCAGCTCTCGGTGGCTGAGATCACCAACGCCTGCTTCGAGCCGGCCAACCAGATGGTGAAGTGCGACCCGCGGCACGGCAAGTACATGGCGTGCTGCCTGCTGTACCGCGGGGACGTGGTGCCCAAGGATGTCAACGCCGCCATCGCCACCATCAAGACCAAGCGCAGCATCCAGTTCGTGGACTGGTGCCCCACCGGTTTCAAGGTGGGCATCAACTACCAGCCGCCCACGGTGGTGCCCGGGGGGGACCTGGCCAAGGTGCAGCGCGCGGTCTGCATGCTGAGCAACACCACGGCCATCGCCGAGGCCTGGGCCCGCCTGGACCACAAGTTCGACCTGATGTACGCCAAGCGGGCGTTCGTGCACTGGTATGTGGGGGAGGGCATGGAGGAGGGGGAGTTCTCGGAGGCCCGGGAGGACATGGCCGCCCTGGAGAAGGATTACGAGGAGGTGGGGGTGGATTCCGTGGAAGGAGAGGGCGAGGAGGAAGGGGAGGAATACTAAATGCTTGGTTCCTTCTGTTGCTGTAGCATGTTCACAAAATGTCTGCTTCAAACACTTCAGCTTTCTTGTGCACTGGGTGGGGTTCAGCCCCATGGGCCCGGCTGGAGGGACGCGATGCTCTGGCTGGGCTCGTGTACTCTCTGATGTGATCCTGTCGGTTTTCCATGTGTCTGTATCATGTCTGTGAATAAAAGGCTTTAAGAGAAGCTGCCTCTGTGTCGGATACAAACCCTCTGTGTCAGCGCCTGGAGCTTGCCGGGCCAGGCTGGCCCAGTCCCATGGGAACAGACTGTCCCTATTGTCTGTGCCCAGTGAGACGGCCAGGGATGGCAGCGCTCCTGCTGGGAGCTGGCTCTGTCCAGCTCTTCCCCAGCTCCTCTGTTCCCTTGGGGGAGGGGGAAGAAACCCCCCACCCCTTTTCTGTGGGTGCTACAGGGTGGGGGCTGTGCAGGGGACCCTGGGTGATTCTGCTCTACTGGATCTTCCCATGACCTGCCCGGGGTTAAATTGTCTTTGGTGCGCTATATCCATCTGGGAGGGGGGCCCCGTCCCCATCGACCCCGCCGGGGATTAACCCTCCCGGGGGATTAGCCCCGGCCCCGGGGATTAGCCGCGTCCCTGCACCTAATCCCGGTTGCTGCCCCCTTGGGCGCTGTGGGAGGGAGCTCCGCGCCGCTTTCAACCTATGGGGGCGCCCCGCGCCTCCATGGACCAATGAGCGCCGCCTCATTCAATTCCCAGAACCAATGGGCGGTAAGGGGCGGGGCCTGTTGGGGCCCTTTCAGAGCAGGCCGCTGCGGACACAATGTAGCGAGGACCGGACGCTGAGGGGGGCGGGGCCACGGGCGGGGGGCGGGGCCGCCTCATTCAGGCGGCGCTTGGACTCGGCCCGGCTCAGCTCCGGTCGGTGCTTCCCCCGGTACAACCGGTCCCGCCGCTCGGCCCCGGCCCGGCCATGCTGGCCGCAGCATGGCCCCTGTGGAACAGGACGCGCTGGCCGTGCGGCAGCAGCTCTTCCACGAGAGGGTCCGCGAGTGTATTGTGAGTACCCGCGGCCGTGGTGAGGGGGCGTCGAGGAGGGGAAGGGTCCCGAGGTGGCGGCGGGGGAGCCGAGATGAGGGGCTGGGAGCCTGCGGACCCTCGGGAGCTCTGGGGCTCGGCTGCTGCTGTGCCCCACAGCCGGCCCTTATCTGTTCCAGAGCTGCAGCGGGCTGCACTGCACCCTGCAGATAGCGGGGTCCCGGGCTGCGCCCTTCTGAGCACCGGGCACGACCCTCTGCCGGGTCCGTCCTCTGCCCTATCCCGGCCGCCCCCCGCAGCTCTGGGGTCCCGCTGTGCCGGGCCCTGCCTGCCCCGACGGGGAGCCCCTGGGCTCGACCCTGCCCCCAGGCCAACAGCCCTCCCCGGGGCACTTGGTGTCAGAAGGAAGGGGCCTTGCAGAGCCCCCCCCAAACTGTGGGCAACGTGGAGGGGAGCAGCTGGGTCTTCTCCTCTGCTGGACAGGTCACTGGCTGCCACGGGCTCAGGGATGGTGACAAACCAGGTGTCCTGGTCCTGGCATCTCCTGAGGGCCTTCTGGGATGCTGCTTGTGGGGTGGCCAAGCAGGCTGTGACCAGCAGTGCCAGGGCCACCTTGCCACAACCTGATTCGGTGCCTCTGGGGAGGAGACGGTGGCCAGACCCCAACATCTCTGCCCTGGAGCTCCCCAGACGTCTGCCCTGACCCATCCCGGGGAGCTGTGTCTTGCCCAGGAGCTCCTGGCTCAGCACAGCCAGAGTGGAGCTCGCTCGGGCTGACATTGCTGAGTGTGGGAGGTGTGGAGGGTCCCCCGGCCAGGCAGAGCTTTGGGCTGTGGGGTACAGCCCGCAGCAGGAGGGGACCGACAGCCTGAGACGCTTCCCTGGGCAGAAGCAGGAATGGGAGGACCCTCTGGACGCTGCTGCTCTGGCGATCTGGAGCCGGGCCAGCTCCTGGGGCTCCCTGCCACCCCATCTGGCAGATCCCGGGGACCCCTGCCTAGCCGAGCCCCCCGAGCCGGGCGGGAGGGAGGTGCCGCAGCTGCTCCACTCCTCCTGTGCCAAGGTGGCGGGTTCGGGCGACCTTTCCCCGTCCTGCTGTGTCCCCGGCGGGATGAAAGTTCATCACGTTCCTCGAACGTCGCCTGCTCTGGCTGGACCTCGGCGTGCTGGCGGGGGTGGGAGGGACGCCGCAGCTGGCCTTGGCGCCCGGCTCAAGGCTGTTCCCGCAGCTCTGCTGGGTGCCAGGGCCAGCGCGGCAAGGGCTGTGGGGTTGGGTGGTGCAGGGGTGTCCCACGGGGTGGGACAGCTCTGACCCAGAGCCGCTGGGTGGGCTTTTCCCAGGGTCTCAGCCCCTTTGGGCCCCCCCAGCCTGGGTGTTGTGGCAGCTTCTGAGCACCCATGGGTGAGCAGGGGTGTACACGTGTGGGGTGTAACCAGGGCCAGGAGTGGAAAAACAAATAGGTGGAGCTGACAGGCCCCCCGAGCCGGTGGCATTGCCTGGGGTGGGAGCTCTGCCCTCCAGGCCTGCCTGCGCTGCCCGCCCTCCTCTGCCCACAGATCTGTGCTCTGCTCTTCGCCAGCCTCTACATCCTCTGCCACTTCATCATAACCCATTTCAAGAAGCACACGGACTTTGCGGCAGGTAGGAAGGCGGGAGCTGCCAGAGCCAGGCAGCTGTTGGCAGCCACGTTCTGCCTCCCCAGAGCTTGTTCCTCCATCGCTTTTGGCCTCCCCTGGGAGCTCCGGTCCCACTGCAGCCAGAGTTACTGTGGCATCGGTGGCTGGGGGGCACCTCCCCGGCTGCTACAGGAGGGGAGCAGAGCCCAAACGCCCTGGGAGCATTTCTGCAGCATTTAGAGCTGGGGGGGGGGGAGGTTTAGGAGCAGGCAGGGAGCGATGCCACCCCCAGCCCTGTTGGTTTGGGTTTTTCCCCCCTCTCCCTGCAGTGCACGATGATGAGGATGCTGCTGTCAACAGGATTGCGTAAGTTCCTGCCCGTCCTGCTCCCTGCCTGCGGGATGCTCTGCTACTTCCTCTCCCTGCCCGGCTGGAACGCTGGGATCCACACAGGTGGGGGCTGTGACACCCGTGGGGGGTCCCAACACTCGTCTCTCCCGCAGACTGGGGCTGTGCACCTTCACCCTGGCCGTGGCGCTGGGCGCCGTCCTCCTGCTGCCCTTCTCCATCATCAGCAACGAGGTGCTGCTCTCCTTCCCCCAGAACTACTACATCCAGTGGCTGAACGGGTCCCTTGTCCACGGTGGGTGCACGGGGTGGCCCCAGAAGTGTCCCAAGGGATCGGGGTTGTCCCCCCCGGGAGCTCACCCCATGCTGTCCCCACCTTCCAGGCCTCTGGAACTTGGTCTTCCTCTTCTCCAATCTGTCCCTCGTGTTCCTCATGCCCTTTGCCTACTTCTTCACCGAGTCAGAGGGCTTTGCGGGATCCAAGAAGGTAGGTGGCCCTGCGGGGGTGTGTCCCCCACCCTGGTCCCTCCCCTGTCCCTGGCTCCCCGCTGACTCCGCTCCCGCAGGGCATCATGGCCAGGGTGTACGAGACGTCGGTGGTGCTGCTGCTGCTGACGCTGCTGGTGTTGGGCATGGTCTGGGTGGCCTCCGCCATCGTCAGCAATGACGCGGCCAGCCGCCAGTCGCTCTACGGTGGGTGCTGCCGGGGTGCACTGGGGTTCTGTGGGGTACACCAGGGCCCTGTGGGGTGCACCAGGGCTCTCCTGGCTCCAGTGGGGCAGGATCAGGCCCCGGTGCTGAAGGGGAGAAGGGATGCCCAGTGCCGCTGGTCTGACCTTGCCATTTCTGCAGACCTCTGGGAATTCTACCTGCCCTACCTCTACTCCTGCATCTCGCTCTTCGGCGTGCTGCTTCTGCTGCGTAAGTCGGGGGACGTTCCCCTGAGGTGCCCCGGCCCCCGTGGCCCATCCTGCACCGGGTGTGGGGGACCCAGGGTGCCCAGCTGGGAGCAGGGGCTGCTCCCTGCAAATGGTGCTGGCGTCTGGAGGGGTCGTGGTGCAGGGCTGAGCCCCCCAGCCCCTATCCAGGACCCTTCTGTGGGTGCGGGGAGGGGTAGGATGCTGGGGAACCCCCTGCTCAGCCTCTTCTCCCGCCGCAGTGTGCACCCCCTTCGGCCTCTCCACCATGTTCACCGTCACGGGGAAGCTTCTGGTGAAACCCCGGGTAAGGTGTCCCCTCCCAGCCTGGGGGTCTGCAGTCGCTGTGGCTGCCTGGCCTCCCATCCTGGGCATGGGGTGCCATTCACACCCTACCCGCCGCCTGCTCATGGGCTCCTCACCCATCCCCAGCTCCTAGAAGACCTGGACGAGCAATTGAGCTGCACAAGGCTCGAGGAAGCCGCCGTGTCCCGCAGGATTTCCTCCAGTGGGTGCCCAGCACGGCCACTGGCCAGGAGTTGGGGGGCTCAGGCAGACTGGGGGCCCCTTTGCCCCACTGTATGGGAGCCCTCAGCCCCCCTGAGCCCCTTGGCATCTCCTCCCTGGCAGGCAAAGCTTCCTGCTGGCTGAACCTGAACGTGGAGCTGCTGCGGGAGCAGTTCTTCGCCATCCGGAGCAAGAGGCGGAAGCTGGGTAAGGAGCTGGGGAGGTGGGGGACAAGCCCAGGACACCTGGGTTCCCTCCAGCTTGGCACTGGGAGCACTGGTTCCCTGGGAGCCCGTGCTCCCCGGAGGGTGGGTGGGTGTGAAATGGGGTGGGGGCTGTAAACCTGCTGTTGCAATACCCTGGGGGCCCCCTCAATCCCCTGCCGTTGGGTGGGGGCTCGTGCTCCCCTCTCACCCAGGCATGTCCCATGTCCCCCGCCGCAGAGCTGCGGCACCGAGCGTCACCCTGGCAGAGGAACCTGGGCTACCCCCTGGCCATGCTGGGCCTGCTGGCACTGACGGTAAGTGGCCCCAGACTCGCAGGGGAGCTGGGGCTCATCCCTGTCCGCCCCCCCCAACCACCCTCACTCCCTCCCTGCTCCCCCCAGGGCATCTCCGTCCTCATCGTCTGCTTCCACGTCCTGGAGCTGCTGCTGGACGATGCCGCGATGCCACGGGGCATCCAGGTACCCAGGTGGGGGGACAGGGGACAGTGAGGAGTTGTGTCCCACGCTAGCCCCGGGACTTCTTCCCCCTCTCAACACGCCTCCTCCTCTCCCGGCAGGACGCGTCCCTGGGCCAGGTCTCCTTCTCCATCTTCGGTTCCTTCGGAGCTGCCCTGCAGGTCATCCTCATCTTGTATCCTTCAGGCGGGCACTTGTGTCCCCAGCGCTGTCCCCAGGGCCATCCCACCCCATTCTCCTCCTTAACGCCCCTCGCAGTTACCTGATGATCTCCTCCGTCGTGGGGTTCTACAGCTCGCCCCTCTTCACCCGGCTGCTCCCCGAGAGGCAGGACACCCCCCTCACCAAGGTGGGAGCACCAGGCTGGTGCTGGGGGGGGGTGTCCCAGACCCCCAGGCCCCGCATCATGCCGTCGTGTGTGTCCCTGTGCACTGTGTGGTGTCTCCACACGCAGGCACCCTGTGTCCTCCCACCTCCCGCTCCCACCGGTGCAGTCCTGGGTGTGGGCAGGCTCCTGGTGGGTCTCCACAACTGAGGGAGCCCCTTCTCCAGCCTTGGTGGGGGACACACACACATGACACCAGGCCATGGGACAGTGATCCCCTCCCTCAAAAAAACACTCTTCCCCCCTAGATCATCGGGAACTGCGTCTCCTTGCTGGTGCTCAGCTCGGCCCTGCCCGTCTTCTCCAGGACGCTGGGTGAGCCCTCAGGGGAGGGGACAGTGTGACCCTAGGACTGGGGTGTCCCCAGGACTGGGGTACCCTGACCAGAGCCCTCCCCCCCTTCCACTCCAGGGATCACCCGTTTCGACCTCCTGGGGGACTTCGGCCGTTTCAACTGGCTGGGGAACTTCTACATCGTCTTCCTCTACAACATGGGCTTCGCGGGGCTCACCACCCTCTGCCTGGTGAAAAGGGTCTCCTGGGCTGTCCAGGCTGAGCTCATCCGCGCCTTCGGTGAGGAGGGGGGACACAGGGACACGTGTCCCATCGTCCCGTGTGTGTCCCCTGCCCCTTCAGCTCTCACGTTCTCCCTCTGCCCAGGTCTGCACAAGCTGCCACTGCCTGTGACACGCTCCCGGCCCCTCGGCAAGCCCTGCTAGGGCTGGGGGACAGGGACATGTGTGTGTGTGTGTGTGTCCCCACCACGGTGGCCCCCAGGACAGCCACCAGCCACGGAGCCAGCTCTGACGGCGCCTGGTGCTTCAGGGATGTCAGAAACCCCCAGGAAAAGCCGAGAACCTCCCCCCCCCCGCTCCCCCAAATTCCCAGTCCCGCTCTATCTCAGCCTGTTGTGCTACTGAGCCTCGGCCTTGAGCCGTGTGGGGTCCCCCGGGGGCTGCGCTGGCTGTGGCCCCCCCTCCCAGTTTACATACCTCATGCAAAAGCAGCCGGGTCCCCCCCTTGCCCCCCCCCGGTGCTGCCCCAGAAGCTCCCTGGGGTGCAGTTGTGTTTTAAATGTGTGTGTGTCCCCATGGGAGTTGGTATGATACTACAGTGGGGGCCCTGTGGCCCCCTGCCCAGTCACTCCACACCCTGTCCCGATGTCACCCCAGGGCTACTGGGGGGCATTGCTTGGCCCCCACCCTGAGGTCTTCAGGGTCCCCAGGGGCTGGAGGGTCCTGGGGTGCTGGGAATGAGCCCCCCCTCCCCGCCCCCGGCAGCTTGGTGTGACGAGTCTGTCAGGTCTCTGTTACCATGGAACTTGTATGGAGCAATAAAGTCTCTTTTTTTTTATATAAAACTATCTGAATCCAGGGGTTTTTATTCCCTCTGAGGGCAGAGCGGAGCGGTGTGGGGGGGTCCCTGCCCGTGGGGGTCTCAGTCTTGTACCCCCTCCCTCCCCTCTCCCTGGGGGCCATAATTAACCCTCTTCCTGGCTGGGCCTAACGAGCCTCTTCCAGGAAGGGCCAAAGGTTCGGGCAGCTCCCTGCTCGAGGCTGAGGGACCCCGGGGGGGCACCAGGCTGCTTGGGGGGGGGAGTGAGGGAGGGGGCGGGGCTTCCCCCAATGAGGGGGTGGGGGGCCCAGCCCCTGCATTCCGGGGGAGGGGGGGTCCTGTGGCCAGAGAGGAAACTGCCCCGGGGAATGGCCCCCCCCACCCATCCTGCCCTGGCTGGGGCTGAGCCAGGCTGCCCCCCCAACGGCGGGGGTGGGGGGCCCAGGCCCCCCCTCGCCCCCCCCCCCGGCCGGGGCCGAGCAGGAAGCACAGGAAGCCTGGTTTATATTGCAGGAAATGAGGCCATCGGTGCCCGCGATTTCCCTGCGACCTGCTCCCATCCCAGTCACCCCGGGCTGGCACCGGGGCTGCGGGGGGGGCTGCGGGGGGGCCGCGGGGAGCCGGCCCCTCCCTGCGATCCTCTCCCAACCCTACACGTCCCGCTGCTGCCTCCTGTCCTCGCCGGGACCCTCGGCACCCGTGGGCGTTTCGTGGGGAGTTTTGGGGTTGCTGGGGGGGGGCGGGTACGGTACCAACCCCGGGGGTGCCCTGTTCCTGGGGGTGCCCCTGTCCCCGGGGGACCCCGGTCCCAGCCCCGAGGGTGCCTCGGTCCCTGCTGGAACCCGGTCCCGGGGGTGCCCCGGTCCCGGGACGCGGCGCGGGGGGGTTGTCCGGGGCAGGGCAGCGCGGCGGGGCTCCGGCGGGGGCGGCCCCGAGGGATGTGGCCGCTGCCGCCGCCGCTCCCGGGGGCCGGGTCCGAGGCGGGGCCCGGCGGGGCTGCCCAGTACCGGAGCCGAGCGGCCGCAGGTGGCGGCGGCCCGGCCGGGGCGGCTGCGGGCAGCGCACGGTGCCCACCGGCACCCGGGGGAGCCGGTACCGGGGGCTGGGCCAGGAGCGGGTACCGGTACCGGGGGTCGGACCGAACAGGGAGGGACTGAGGGTAGTGCCAGGAAGCGGGTCCCGGGAGCGGGGCTGTGTCAGGGGACGGAGCAGGTGCCGGGACCGGCAGCGCAGCGTTAGGATAACGGGTGTCCCCGGTGCCTCGGGCAGCGGTAGGAGAAGAGGGACCGGGACCGGGACCGGCGCCAGGAGAGGGAGTTCCCCGGTCCCAAAAGACGGTGACAGGAGAGAGGTCCCGGGACCAGAAGCGCGGCATTAGGACCGGGATAAGGAGGATCCCGGTACCAGAGCGCGGTGCGGGAAGCAGGGAGAGGAGCCGGTACCGGAGCGCAGGGTTCAGACGGAAAGCGGGGGCGGGCTCGGGGCGCGGGGTCAGGTCCCGGTGCCGGGACAGCGCCAGGAGCCGGGTGTCCGGTACCAGTCCCGGGGCAGTGCCCGGTGCCAGGTGCCAGTGCCGGTACGCAGCGGTAGGAAGGCTCGGGCTGTATCGGGGTGTCCCCGGGATCGGGGTGCAGCGCCAGGCGAGGGGTGCCGGACCCGTGGGAGCGGAGCCGGCGGCGGGGGGGGGGCCGTCCCGGTGCCCGGGCGCCGCGCTCCGAGTGGGTGGCGGCACCGGCGGGGGGGGGGTGTAGGGGGGGCTGTGGGGGGGGTCAGTTGTCCCGGGCGGTCGGCGATCCCGCAGCGGCGACGGGGCCGTGGGTGTGAGAAGGAAACGGCGCCGACCCGCCCCTGGCACCGCGACCCTCTAAAAGCCCCGAGGCCGCCGCACCGGGACCATGCCCGCCCCGGCCACCCGTGCCCCCGGCGACTGAGCGGGGCCCGCGGAGGCAGCGGGGGCCGGTGGCCGGGATGCCCCGGCGGAGCCCGCTCGCCCTCGGCCTGCTCGGCCTCGCCGCTTGCCTGCTGGCCGCGCCGGCGCTGGGCTGCGGCCCGGGCCGGGGCCCGGTGGGGCGGCGGCGGTTGGGGCGGCGGCAGCTCTCGCCGCTGCTCTACAAACAGTTCGTGCCCAACGTGCCCGAGCAGACGCTGGGGGCGAGCGGGAAGGCGGAGGGCAAAGTCCTGCGGGGCTCGGAGCGCTTCAGGGACCTGGTGCCCAACTACAACCCCGACATCATCTTCAAGGACGAGGAGAACACGGGGGCGGACCGGCTGATGACCGAGGTGGGGGCTGCGCCCGGTCCGGCCCGGCCGCGCTCCCGGGGGCGCGGGGACGCGGGGGCGGCGGGGGGGTGGGCGGGAAGGCAGCGACCCTGCCCGGGCAGCACCGACCTTCCCCGGGCGGCACCGATCCTTCCCGGGGGGCACCGACACTTCCCGGGGGACAACGACCGTCCCCGGGGCGCACCGACCCTCCCTGTGGGGCACACCGACCCTCCCTGTGGGGCACCGACACTTCCTGGGGTTCACCGATCCTTCCCGGGGGGCACCGACACTTCCCAGGCTGCACGGACCCTCCTCGGGTGGCACCAACCCTCCCGGGGCGCACGGACCGTCCGGGGGTGCACCGTGCCTCGCCCCGGTCCCCGTCGCCGTTCCCCGGTCCTTGACGGCGGCAGAGGCAGCACCGGAGCCCCGGGACGGGGCGGTCGCACCGCGTTAGGCACTGAGGACCCGCCGTCGGGGATTAACGGGGCGGGGGCGGCACGGGGTCTGGCCACCGCGCCGGGGGCGCGGGTTACCGGCGGCTCCGCTCCCCCGGTGCTCCCGTACTCCGGGGCGGTGCCGGCGGGGGGGGGGGGGTCAGCAGGACGGGGGGCGGCCCCGACACCCGTCTCCCCGGGGCGGCGGGAGGGATCCGGGGCGGCAGGAGCCCGGGCCGCGCCGCGCCCCGCCGGGATGCTCATCGTTGCCATGGCGAGGGGCGGCTCCGCGGTCGCCATGGCGACGGGGGATGCTGCGAGTGGTCCAGGCGGCGCCGGCGGCTCCCGCGGGCCGGGGCGGCGGGGGCGGCGGGGCCGGGGCGGCGGGGCCCGGTGGGGCCGCGAACACGGAGCCGGCCCGGGGTGCGGGCGGCTGAAAGGGCCCTTTGTGGCCGTGCCGGCATTCCCGGGGCCTGAGGTCAGCGCCGGGCTGGAAGGCGCCTATTGTCGCCGGGCCGGGCCGGGCCGGGCCGGGCGCATTCCTGCCCCCCCGCCGCTGCCGCCCCCCCGGACGGGCCGCCCCGGGCCCGCGGACCCTCATCTCCCGCCCCCGCGGCCCCGCGCTCCCGGGAGCGGCTTTGTTGCACGGGGAAGAAGGGGGCACAGGGGCGCGGAGGGACGCTGTGACCTCACCAGCTGCTGGCAAGGGGGGGGACACACCGGGGGGAGCTCCGACCCCTGCACCCCACATCGGTGCTGCCACTGCTGATGGGAAGAGGGACCCTGGAGCCACCCGGGACCCCCCATCATCACCCTCAGCTCTGCGCACTGGAGTCCCAGACCCGCCCCCGTGCTGCCCCCCCGGCCCTGCCTGGCTGCACTGACCCCCCCCTGGTGTCACCCCGGGACTCGGGTCTGGTTCAGGGTCAGCTGCACCCCCAGCTCTGCCTCACAGCCCCCCCGCCGGGTTAATCAGTCACGGCTGTGCCCGTGGGGAAGGTGACACCGTCCCGGTCCCCGTCCCGGTCCCCTGCCCGTTCTGCCCGGCTGCCCGCGCCAGGGAGCGGCTCCACCACAGGACCCCGGGGCACGTTAATGTTCAACCCATGCCTGGGCGGGGGGGCTGCACAGCCGTGTACCCCTCTGGAGGAGGGGACACCCCATCTGCCCCCCACCATCTGCTCCTTCAGGCTCCTTCCAAACCCCATGCAGGCCCAGTGTCCGTCTGTCCATCTGCGCACAGGACCTCTGCGGGGAGGGGACAGGACGCTGCGGCAGGGCTGGGGGTAATGCCGGTGCTGGTGTTTCCCTCCCCCCCCCCAGCGCTGCAAGGAGCGGGTGAACTCGCTGGCCATTGCGGTGATGAACATGTGGCCGGGGGTGAAGCTGCGGGTGACGGAGGGCTGGGATGAGGACGGGCACCACCTCCCCGATTCGCTGCACTACGAGGGCCGGGCGCTGGACATCACCACGTCCGACCGCGACCGCCACAAGTACGGCATGCTGGCGCGCCTGGCCGTGGAGGCCGGCTTCGACTGGGTCTACTACGAGTCCAAGGCGCACATCCACGTCTCTGTCAAAGCAGGTACCACGCCGGGGTGGGGCTGCCACCAGGGTGGGGGGCTGTCATCCCCATAAGCAGCCCAGCCCGTGGCCCCGCAGCCCCCCCTTGGTATCCTGGATCCATGTGGGACGCAGCCCTGCTCCGGCTGGCATCCAGCCCCAGTGGGTTCAGCCCGTGTCTGGCCCCAGCCCAGCTCCCCCCTGGCCTTTCTGGACACAAGATTGGCAAAAAAAAACATTTCCCCCTCTAAATTTTGCCCTGGCCGGAGCCACCCTCGTGGTCCAGCTTCCGGTGTGGGGCACAACCGGGGTTATTAAGCTGATGTGGCTGGGCGTGGTCCCCAGCCCCACAGCTTCTCTGGCCAGCAGCCCCCCTCCGGCCCAGAAGTGACAATTGACAGAAAGTGAAAGTGGCCGTAAATGTCACCGTCCCCAGCCCCGAACAAAGGGCATCAGTGCGGGGTGGACAAAGGGGCCCTGCTGCGCCCAGTCTCCCCGGGAGCCCTGCACAGGAACCGGGGTGGCTTTGGAAAATACCCGCTTTGTTCCGGGGGCGGTTTGGGGGCCTGGGGTGGGGGCGGCTCCGCTTTGGGGCCGTTTCCTCTCTGGAGGTGGTGACCAGTGGAGGTGGCCAGTGGGGACAGAGGGGACCCATGGCTTTCTTCATCCGCCCAGATAACTCACTGGCTGTCCGCACCGGCGGCTGCTTCCCCGGCCATGCCACCGTGACGCTGCAGAGCGGCGAGCGCCGGGGCCTGGCCGACCTGCGCCGGGGCGACTGGGTGCTGGGTGCAGAGCCGGGCGGGCGCCTGGTGCCCACCGAGGTGCTCCTCTTCCTCGACCGTGACCTGGGCCAACGCACCTCCTTCGTAGCCATTGAGACGGCCAGCCCGGCGCGCCGGCTGCTCCTCACCCCGTCCCACTTGGTTTTCGCAGCCCGCGGGGCGGCCAACAGCACAGCCGCCTTCCTTCCTGTCTTCGCCCGCCGTGTCCGACCGGGTGATGCAGTGCTGGCCCACGGGGCCGGTGGGCAGGGGCTGCGTCCTGCACGGGTGCTGCGGGTCTCGCGGGAGGACGGCGTGGGGGTCTTCGCCCCCCTCACCTCCCACGGCACCCTGCTCGTTAACGGGGTGCTGGCATCCTGCTACGCCGTCCTGGAGAGCCACCGTTGGGCCCACCGTGCCTTCGCCCCTCTCCGCCTCTTCCACGGGCTCCTCTCGCTGCTGCCCGCCCGCACTGAGGCGGGCAACGGGACGGCACCGGAGCCGGGCATGCACTGGTACTCCCGCCTGCTCTACCGGCTGGCCGGCGGTGTGCTGGGCCACGAAGCCCTGCAGGTTTAGGGGTCCCCAGCTCCCCCAGTTGCCTCACTGCAGATCATGCCGCACACTGGAAACAGGGGGCTCCCCCTTGGACCCAGGCTGGAGGGACAAGGGGCACCCCGAGCCCTGCGGGGAGGTTGGGGTGTCTCTTGGCTCAGCACTGCCAACGGGGGTGGGGTGCTGGGGATGGGGTGTCAAGGGGTGGGGTCAGCCCCTTCCTGTGTCCCAGAACCCCCCCACAGCACTGCTGAACCCCCGCACGCTCCCCCTGTATTTATTGCTTTATTAACCACTGAGGGGTTGCTGCCTGTCAAGCCAAGGCCGGGCACCACCAGACCCTGTCCCAGGGCCAAATCAAGTCCGGGGAGATGCCGAATCAGCCCAGCCTGGCAGCAGTCCCTGCGTGTCCCCCAGCTCTGGGGCTGACCCTCCGTTACCCATGGTGTCCCTGTCCCCGTGCAGCTCGGTGCCGCAGGGTGGCTGGACGGGGCGGCTGTCGCAGGCATGGGCTTGGCTCTAACCGTGCTAACTGCTAACCTGCCCTGCTTGAGAGTTTTATTTTTCTATTTATAAATGGTAATATAAATGTCCCCCGCGCCCACCCGCCCTGGCAGCGGGGCCCGCCCTGTGGGGCAGGGGGCCAGCCTGCTTTTAACCACTTCTGTTTAAAAAAAAAGGAAATACTACTATTTAATTGTTTGGGTAAATAAAGAGACTCTATGGCCCTAGTGGAGCCGTGGCTGGGGGTGGGGGGCTATGCAAGGCTGGGCTGGAGGGCCTGGGTGGGTGGGTGGGGGGTCGGGCATCCTGGGAGGCTGGTGGTGTCCCTGGGACTGGGCAACCTGGGGGCTGGGGGGCTCAGGGACGCTGGGGGACCCAGGGGAGCTGGGTTCAAGTTTCTCGGGGGGCTGGGGTAACCCCGGGGGGGCCGAGGGGTCCCTGGGGCTGGGGGAAGGCCGCGGTGGGGGTCTCGGGGGGCAGGAGATGGGTGGGGATGTTGCCGGAGGTCCCCGGGGGGGACAGGAGGCGGGTGTCCCCCCCCCCCGCCCGCCTCGCTGAGGTGTACGGCCACCACGTGGCCCCGACCGTTCCCTCCGTTTTCATGAATGGAGCCCGGGCGGCCAACGCGCCTGCGCCGCCGCCGCGCCCCGCCCCCGCCGCCGCGGCGTGGCCAATAGGAGAGGGCGGGCGGGCGGTGTTGTGGTCACGTGGCGCTGCCGGTGTAGTGGCGGCGGCACCGCCCCTCCCTCCCCCCCGCCGCGGCGGGTGGTTTATAACGCCGTGTGCAGCGCCCGCCCGCGCCGCCCCCCTCCCCTTCCCCCCCATCCCCCCCCCGCCCACCCCACTCGCGGCGTGGGCCATGCCGCTGGTGCGTCACCGCAAAGTGCTCATCCTCGGGTACCGCGCCGTGGGTCAGTGCGGGGGGTGGGGTGGGGTGGCGGGATGTCTCGTGTGGGAAGGGGCTGTGCCCTCTGCCCCGTGCGGCTCTGTGGGGTGTGGGGGGGTGCGGGATGGTGCGTTGGAGCGAGGCTGCCCCACGGGGCAATGCGGGGGGCAGGGGGTGTCTGTGCCGGGCCTCTCGTGGGTGCTTCCCGCCTCCGTGGGCTCAGAGCACTGCGGGTCCGTGCCCCGGGTGGGCGCTGTGGGGCCGTGCTCCAGCTGGACGCCCACTCGGGAGCCCCTGTCACCCGGGGGCCGGGTGCCTTCCCCTGCCCTGGGGCCATGCTGGGACCCCAGCCCTGCGCTCCCCCACCCAGGCAAAACCTCCCTGGCCCACCAGTTCGTGGAGGGGAAGTTCGTGGAGTGCTACGAGCCCACAGTGGAGAGCAGTAAGTTGTGTTTCTTTTTTTTTTTTTTTCTGGGGGGGGCGGGGGCTCTCTGCCTGGGGTCCCCCCTTCCTGTTGCTGCCGTGGGTGCTGAGGACAGATGTGTCCCCACTTCTGGGCTGTGCCCCAAAACTTTCTGCTGGGGGCTGAGGCAGCCCTGGAGTGGGGTGGAGGGAAGGGGAGTCCCTGGTGGGGGTGTGGGGGTCCCCAGCAGCCCCCCCTGACCTGCTGCCCCCTCCACAGCCTACAACAAGATGGTGGTGGTGGGCAAGGATGAGTTCCAGCTCCAGCTGGTGGACACGGCTGGGCAGGTAACGCTGGGAGCAGGTACTGGGGTGGTGGGGGTCCTGGAGCTGGGGGGGGGGGGGGCTACTGGTCCTGGAGACCCCCCCCTGCCACTGGTCCTGCCCTCCCCCAGGACGAGTACACCATCCTGCCCCACTCCTTCGTCATCGGCATCCACGGCTATGTCCTGGTGTACTCGGTGACGTCCCTGCGGAGGTGAGGGACTTGGCCACCCTCCCCTTGGTGCTGGGGTCCCCTTGAGGGGGGACCCCCCCGTGTGTGTGTGTGGGGTGTCAGCATTCAGTGCTTCCCCTTCTCCCCACAGCTTCCAGGTGGTGAAGACCCTTCACAACAAGCTCTACGAGAGCCGGGGGAAGACGCGGTAGGTGCTGTGTGTGTGTCCCCCCTCTCCGGGAGTGGGGTGCAGGGCTGGAGGGGGGTGGGGGGGCCAGGCCCTCACCCTCCCCGTACCTGCAGCATGCCCGTGGTGCTGGTTGGGAACAAGGCAGACCTGTCCCTGCAGAGGTAAGAGGGGCTCTGGGGGTCCCTGTCCCCTCCTGCTGTGTCGTGTCCCTCCCCCACCCCAATCCTGCCCACCCTCTGCTGTGTCTCCAGCCGGGAGGTGAAGACGGATGAAGGGAAGAAGCTGGCGGAGTCGTGGGGGGCAATTTTCCTCGAGTCTTCAGCCAAGGAGAGCCAGGTCTGGGGCAGGGTGGTGTGTGTGTGTGGGTGTGTGTGTGTGTGTGTGTGTGTCCCCGGGGCTGGGAGCGGGGTCCCCAGGGTGGACAAACTGGGGTTGACATCCCCTTGTCCCCAGGTGACCCAGGGGATCTTCACGAAGATCATCGAGGAGATCGACCGAGTGGACAACTCCTACGGCAGATCCACCGGCTGCCACCTGATGTGAGCCCCCAGCTTGGGGCAGCCCCCCAGGACGGGGGCACACACACCCCACGGGACCTTCCCCCCAGACCAGAGCGGTGTTTTTTGGGGAGGGGGGAACCGGGGCCACGTGGTCCCTCTGTACAGGACCCCTCACTTTGCACAGGCTGTGGGGCTCACGAGGGGCTGGGAGCAGGGCAGGGGTCCCGTCCCAGCTGGGGAGCACACTCCCCCCTCCTAGCTCGAGGCTGCTGTCGTGTCCCACCCCCCCAGACATGGACAAGGACACGTGGGGGCTGTTCCCCCTCCAGGCGCGGGGAGCCGGGGCTGAATGTGGGTGTTGTTCCCGGTGCGGGGCCGCGGGCTGGCTGTGCCGCGCTGGCAACCACCGCTCGTGGGAGTCGGGGCCACGGGGCTGGAACAATTAAACGTTGTTTTGTCTGCAAATCCCCCCCCCCCCCTCAAAGAGCCCAGGCTTGGGGGGGGGACAGATGGACTGCTCCTCTGGGGGAGGTGTGGGAGGAAGGTGAGGCTGCATGTGGGGATCCCTCAACAACCCAGAATTGTGCTTACCCCCCCCCCGCCCCCGCAAAAGTGTCCTGTGGGACAGTGTCATCACCCCCCACCCCATGGTGCTGAGCACCCTGGGGCTGTCACTGGGACCTTGGGGGGGGGGGCTCTGCAGCCCTGTCCCCCCCCCCCCCCATGCCTTGGGGAGCTGCAGCCTGGGCCGGGGGGGCGCTGTGCAGTGTTGGGGTGCCTGGCCTGGCTGCGGTTCCCCCTGTGGCTTATCTCCACCCAGTCAGGCTAATTACTGCTAATTACCCAATTAGGCTGGTGGAGAGGAGCAGGGAGCTGCTGAGGAGGGAAGTGGGGTGTTGGGGTGCAGACAGGGAGGGGGGGCCCCCCGCTCTGTGCCCCCAGGAGTGGTGTTGGGATGGGAGGGGGTGCTGGGGGGGAGTGGGGGGGGTCTGCACCCCCAGAGTGTTTGTGTGTCCCACCCCCTGGGTCAGGGGGCTCAGGGTCCCGGGGGGGCCCTTTGCCCACCCTGTGCCCGTCCTTGGTTCACCCGCGGGGTGGGGGTCCCCGCCTGTGACCGATGGGAGCCGGGGCCGCCCCCTCCCCCGGCTGGGTGTCCACGCGGGGTGTGGGACGAACGCGAGTGGCCGTGAGGGGTGGACGGACACACACCGAGAGGGCGCCCGTGGGGCTGCCCTTGTGCGCGGCCCTGCCTATCCCGCTACCGGGAGGAGTCCCGGGCTCTTGGCGTTGCCCCACGCGTGGGGCAGAGCCGCAGCTCGGCAGTGTGGGGGTGCCACTCCGCGGGAGCTCGGGGCAGAGCGCGGGAGCCGGGACACCGGGCACGGCCGGGACACAGGGACGCGGAGCCCTCTGCACGTCCCCTCCCCGCTCCGGTCCCCCCCCCCCCCCCCCCCCGCGCATGAAGGGGTTGTCGTGGGGGGGCGGAGCCAGCGCCGTTCCCGGTGCCGCCCCGCCGTTGCCCACGTGCGCGCCGCCCGCCCCGGCGCCGGCGGGGTTAAGCGTCGCGGAGGGATCCCTCCCGGCAAGCGTGCGCTGCGGCCCGCGCCGTCACACCCCCCGCCGCCGCAGCGCCCGCCGCGCACCGTCTCCCTCCGCCCGAGCCCCCCGCCGCCAAGTAGTGCAGGCGCGGCGCCCCCCCCCCCCTCCCCGGCCGCGGGCCCCCCCCCCCCCCCCCCCCCCCAGGGCGCAGCGCGGCGGCCCCGGCGGGGCGGGCGGGGCGGGGCGGGGGCGGGCGGCGGGACCTACTTTCCTCTGGAAATGGCCGCGCCGGGGAGCGCCGTCCGCCCCGCGCCCCGAGGCCCGTCGGCGTAGCGCGGCCGCGGGGGTAAGAGCCGGGCGGGGGGCGGGGGGCGGCCCCGCCGGGGCTCCCGCGCGTTCGGGGCCCGGGACCCCGCGGCCCCGGAAGGGAGAGGCCCTCCCGGGCGGCCCCAGGCCGCGCCGCCTCCGCCGGGCCGCGCCGCCGCCGCCTCCTCCCGGCCAGGCCTCCCCGGCGGCCGGGCCCGGAGCGCGGTCTCCGGGCTCCCTTTGTGTCCGCTACCGGCGCCGGTACCGGCGATGCCTGCCGCTCGGGGAGCCGCTGGAGGCCCCGGGCGCCCCGCCGCCGCCTGAGCCGAGGTACGGCCGGGCCCAGCGCTTCGGGGCCCCGGTGCCGGTGCGCGGGTAGGCCGCGGCGGGCTCGGCCCCCCCCCGGAGGGTCCGGTTGCACCGGAGAGGAGGGCGGGGGGGCGCGGAGCGCGGTCCGGGGGCACCGGGGAGGTTGGGGGGGGGGTGGGTGTTCAGCCCCCCCGGGGGCGCGGGCAGGGCCGGGTGGGCCCCTACGCCGACACCCCCCCCCCCCATCCCCGGCGCCCTTCGGGGGCGGCCTCAACCCCCCCGGGATCACCGGGGAACCAGGGGGACTTTGCTTGTGTGTGGGGGGGGCGCCTCCACCCCCGGTCCGGGACCCTGCCGTGCCTGGCCGGGGGTCCCCTCGGCACCCCCGCGCCGTCTCGGGGGGCAGCCGGGATTTTGGGGTGCCGGGGGCTGGGTGTGGGGGAGGGGGGGTGGTATCGGTGTGTGGAGTTGGGGGGGGGGGGGGGGGCCCGGGCCCCTTCCCCCACGTGCAGCTCACGGTTGGGTTTGGGGGCTCCTTCACTGTTTCTCTGTGTGTGTGTGTGTGTGTGTCCCACGACCCCCCGCGTTTTTGGGGTACA